CTGAGACCCTATGAGCACAGTTCTACTCTGAGACCCTATAGAGCACAGTTCTACTCTGAGAACTTATAGAGCACAGTTCTACTCTGAGACCCTATAGAGCACAGTTCTACTCTGAGAACCTATAGAGCACAGGTCTGCTCTGAGATCCTATAGAGCACAGTTCTACTCTGAGACCCTATGAGCACAGGTCTACTCTGAGAACCTATAGAGCACAGTTCTACTCTGAGACCCTATAGAGCCGTTCTACTCTGAGAACCTATACAGCACAGTTCTACTCTGAGACCCTATAGAGCACAGTTCTACTCTGAGACCCTATAGAGCACAGTTCTACTCTGAGACCCGGTGAGCAGGGTGGGGGGGGCATTGGGTTGGAATCTCCTCAACAGCAACTGAATGTGAGTTTCACCCCTACACTAATTAAATAATTCTCCACTGATGTGTTTAACATCGACTTGCTCTGCTCCAAGGGGTCCTGGTGGTATGGTGGGTTAGGCACCAGCTTGCTAACCACACAGTTTAAACCTGCTGCTCTGTGGGAATCGAGGAGAGCGTCTGCTTTGGCAAAGCCCCGTGGGAGCCCTCCAGAGCAGCTCTCCTCCATCCTACCGTCACTGTGAATGGAAGCGACGGCACTGTCTTCAGACTCGTCCTACTCCACGTAGTTCTTTGCGTGCCAAGGCTTATGTTTGTCTGGTTCAATAATGTCTCCCCTAAGACTGAGCACACGAATTAGCACACAGGACAGGAAATAAATGTAGGTAGAAGGAACTGAGCTCTTAAGTCAGAAATATATCTTGGTCTTGAATCAAAACCAGACTCCTGGTAAGTTCTAGATAGCCGCGTGTTTGCTGAACAATCGATAGCTATCTCTGTATTTAGAGGGTTGATATGTTTTGCAGGACATGAGTAACGAGGGTGAGTCTTTGTGTTTTAATAAATCTATTTGATTGGATAACATTTGGGCCAGTCCTCTCTGGTGTTACAAATTCCACTCTGCCTAAAGCCCTCATTCTTGCTGCTTGCTTCTGCGGGTGCTACTTTCTGGCTTCATTTACAAAGCTGGTCTTCTACCCTAAGGACTCTATCTGGGATGGACTTGGACCAGGGTTCTCAGGACCCTGCAGGACTCGGCTCGTGTGTTCAAGCTCGTCATGCATCCTGAGACACAAGGGCACTCAGTCTACGAACACAGATACAAATGAAACTAGGGGTCAATGCCATGGGATTCTGGAGGGAAACAGAGAAACAAACAGAGCGGAATCGACCTTTGGCCCACTCACAAAACTTATTTATTTAGCTATGCATTATCATGAAGAAGAAGAAACTAGCTGGCAGGGAAGCCCTAAGACATGGAACATAAGCTGAGGGCTGGGCAGTCGGACAGACCCGGGTAGGAGTCCAAACTCCACTATTTACTAGCCGGGTAAGCATGAGTTGAATAATTTCCCTGAGATAAAAACTCTTAAACTTTCCAAGGGACTCGTGATCTATATAATATGCCTAAAAGTGACAGCGGCTCCGTGGAAGAAAGAAAAGACAATCTGCTTCTGAAAGGCCACAGCCTTCCAAACCCAATGGAGCACACATGTGACACTCTGGACACACGGGACGGCGTGACTCCCGGACAACTAAGAACAACGTTGACAAGCCTATATAAATCGCATGTGTCCTCCCACGGGAGTTTGTAATACCCTAAAGAGAACACCCTTCGGAAATGTCCACTTACTTACCAAGCATGCCTTTCTTGGAACTGGACAGACACATGTCCTTCTCTGCGCTGGGCAGGGCAAAAGCCACCACGAACACCTCCACCCCATCAGCCATTAGGGCCAAACCCAAGACAACAAAGAGGATCCACTGGAAGCGCCCATGGCCGCACTCCTCCATGATGGTCTCGTACTGGTGGGCCAGCTGCTCCTCATCCTCCATCCTTTCAGCCATCAAGTCGGCCCGGCTCCGCAGACCACCTGCCCCGGGGGCTGCAGTCTTTGTCTGCTTGCTCTTGACCTCCTCCGGGTGAGGAATGCCCTGGTACTCGCCCTCATAGATCTCATCCTCCTCGTCATGGCCTTCTGTGACATCACTCTGAGCATCCTCCTCCAGGTTGGCCTCACTGCCGCGGTAATAGTCATCGTTAGGGGCATAGCCCTCATAGCTGTGCGGGTACTTGTAGGCATCCATCCCTTGGTTTAGGACGGTCTGCCTGCCTCTCGAGCTATAGGCCTTGCACGGTGGTAGAGGTTTGAGCTGTTTCAATAACCATCACCCATTGTATGTGGAGAAGTTTAAACATGAACTATGTTCCCCTGATTCCGTGGGTTAAAGTGACAACTGCAGTCCCTCCTTCTGTCTCCCAAATGAATTTGATTTGTGTAACAGCAACCTAAATGTCCTTTTGTGTTGAGTGACTGTTAGAAGTCTTCAGAGAGTTTCCAGCTCTGGTCTCAGCTACTAGAAGTGTCAGACAGGGTGGGGCTGACTGGGAACAGGTCCGCTGTTTTCCTTGACAAGCAGTGACAGCTGGCTGGCTGGCTGGCCTTGTTCTGCAACCAAACGTCATGCCTAGGGACACAGAGAAGGAAAACAGGAAGAATTTTATCAAGGGCTGGAAAGCTGGCAAAACCAATCTTCCAGGTAACGAGGATATCAATCTAATCTTGATGAGAAGGTTGGATTTATAGGACATCAATGAGAACAAATAAGTGGTACTGTAAGAAAAAGAAGGCAGAAAGACACAAGTGGTCAAAAAGTCCCTTGGAAGCTTTTATTAATCCATGAAAGAGGTCAAGTCTTACACAAGAATACAAGACAAAAGGCCTAAAGTGGCGCTTTTCTGCGGCTGTCAGCTAGGATTCATCAAGATTTTGGTTTGGCAATAGCAGAGGTTTATTACAGCTTAGCTTCTAACTTCATTAAAAGCAGTTGAAGAATTTCGCATCTAGAAATTAATGGTAAAGAAATAGCTGGGACAAATTTTCCTGAGACCCAGTTGACTTTTGAGACTCAGCATTGTGATCTGAGGGACACTCGGACTTGTCCTTGACCTACATTACATCAGCAGGGACAGAGAGCTGAGAGCAAAAGCCAGAGAGCGTAGATCTGGAACTTGATTCTGACCTTCCATAGCTTAGGGACCACACACACATCTTTGGGGGCCTCACTTTTCTAACTTGTAAAATGCAGAAAGTGATAATTAACTTAAGTCGTATGATTTTGTCTGAAAAACTTAAAATAGTGCCTGGCATACATGATAAACACTATTCAAGCCTTGGATTTTTTTTAAACAGTTTTATTGGCACATAATCCACATGAGATAGTTAAAGTTTATTGTGCCAACTGGCGGATAAAAACGTGTGGGGTTAATTGAAGGGCGGAGAGATAAATGGCTCGGTGAGCCTCACCTTTCTAGTTCTCAGGTCTCTTGCTTTGTGATGGTCGGACCAGGGTGCAGCTGCCTCAGCCAGTTCCTGCTTCAGCTGGCAAGGCTCACTTCCTGCAAGACATCCCTGAGGAGAAGCCACATGGACCTACCCCGATGCAGCCCTGGGTGCTGGAGCAGCTGGGTGGAGACCCCTGCCAGTGCTGAGATGCTTACATGTTCACTGACTCGGCTTTCCTCCTGCAGTCGGCATCATAGTGTGTGTTTTATGAGATGCAGGAGGACTTTGTGGATTGGCGTCGGACATATGGGCTAATTAATGTTGGACTTGTGGGCTTGGGCAGCACTGGGTTGGGATGTTTTCTTGATGTGCCCTTAACCTTTATATAAAACTCTCTCTTATACATGAGTGTCTGTGGATTTGTTTCTCTAAAGTACCCAGACTAACACACCACATATCACACAATAAGCCTTGAAATCATTGTTGCTCACCACCCACCTTTCCGGTTCCAGGTTAGGAAACTGAACCTCTGTCTTGTTTTTAACCCAAGACTCTGCCCTCATCCCAATCCCAACCCCGAGGCTGAGTCCTATGACCAAGTGACTGACAGCTAGTCCTTAATACCTTCTGAGAATCTCAGTTCCCCTATGATATGGAGCTTCAGTACTAAACGCCTGCTGTATGTCAGCAACTGCTCAGCATGTCGCCTCCTGCACCCCTACCTCTTATGTTGTTAGTCACCTTCAAATTGGTTCTGACCCAAAGCAACCCTCTGAGCAATAGAATGCAATGCTGCCCAAGCCTGCGCCATCCTCACAGTGCTCCCAGGCCTGAGCCCACTGCTGTGTCCACTGTGTCGATCCGTATCATGTCTATACTTTAATGCTCAGAGGAGCCCTGGTGGTGTAGTGGTTACTCATTGGGAATGTGAGCTACAAGGTCTGATGTTCGAAACCACCAGCCACGCTGAGGGAGAGAGATGGGGCCGTCTACTCCTTAAAGAGGCACTGTCTTGGAAACGCACCAGGGCAGTTCTCCTTCATCCTACAGCGTTGCTCTGAGTCGGCATCAACTCTATGGCAATGAGTTTTATAAATCTCACAGGAATCCAGAAGAGAAAAACAAATGGATGTGTATCTTCAGTTTTACAACTGAGGAAACTGTGCCTAGGACCGGTTAAATCATGTGATCAAGGTCACAACCCTAGGGCCTTTGATTCCACAGTTATTTCTCCCCTTAGGCCCGACGTTTCCAAGACGATGTTTCCAGGATGATGTTTCCAGCTACTGCAAAGTACAGGAGCTTTAGAGACACAGAAGCAGAAGGGCTAGGTTCAAGTTCAAGTTCAGGAATCTGAGTTTTCATACAGCTCCCCTTGCAGAGCCCCTCAGGATATGTTTGAAGACCAATTCCTACGCCTCCTCCCCATCTCTCACTCAGTTCTCTGTCAGGGATGCTTGCTCAGATCTCTCCCCCCCACACCCACCAATAAAATCCATGGGTCCTTTCACTGGCGTGGCATCCCACACTCCTCCCCACACAGTGCAGCCTTCCCCTCCCAGAGCAACCCTGGGCCTCAGTCCCATACTTGGTGGCCTGGCCGCCTTCACCCTGGGCCCTAGACAGACTCCAGCTCTGGGCCTCACTGGATTCAGATAACACCGTGCATTTTCTTTGGCGGGATGCAAATGAACCAGGTTCTCAGACCAAGTGTGCGCAAAGCACTGGGGGAAGGAGGCTCACTAGAAATTGAAACCCAGGCCCCACCCCAAAAGACTCTGGCCCTGCAGGGTAGGAGCGGACATTGGGAGTATACATTTTTACTAACATAACAGGTAAACTACAAGGCAAGAGATGGCGACAATTTGAGAAACAGTGGCATAGGAACCAGCCAGCAATATTTAATACAAACTGCCTCTCATGTCCCTGTTTCACTAATCTCAGTAAATCAATTTCTATTAGACTATGCTGGTCCTGAACCATGTCAGATTAATATTCTAAACCTGGCTTTATTATATTCATTTCAGAATCCCAGGAGGATTATAAATCACATATAAACAGCCAGGGAGTTTGCAGCATGCTATTAAAAAAAGCGGGGGGGGGTGAAGCATTGCCAACTGTCTGAGGTCTTTTGTGTGATTTCCATCCTGGTGAATCTGGGGAAGAAAAAAAAAGTCATGAACCAAAAATGATAGGTTTGCAATTTCAATAAGGAATGTAGAAAATAACCCTCGGAGCCAAATGTCCTGGGATTTGCTTTACAGAAGGATGAAAATGTTCATCAAAATGAACTCCACTCCAGGATCCAGATAAATGAACCAGAGTACCCACTGTGTATTGTTATTGTTATTTCTAGCTCATTGAAAAATGCCAAATAATTTTCTTTAGCAAAGCAGGCTCTAGAGAATACATGGATTAATGATTTTCAACACATCTGATATTTAGCAATTAAGCAATCACATAAAACAAATAGAAGAACCACGATTAACGGAACTAATACTCAGATACTGAGCTGAGTCGCTCATAAGCACCATTTGTCCCCATTTCCAACCTGTGAGGTGGGACTCTTCTCTCCACTTCACAGAAGGCCAAGAGGATGAAAGAATGTGCCCAAATTCACAGAGAGCACGAGCTTCGTGGCCTGAATAGGAAGCCAAGTTCAAACAGAACATCTGAGAAGAAACCGAGGCTTCAAGGAGAGAAGGGGTTCCATCCGAGTCTCATGCTGAGCTGTTGACCTTCGGCTTTTGATTCCCAGGTGAGGGCTTACTGGCCCATCTTCACCAACGTCCCATGAAATCTTTAATGTTGAAGACATGGTAGGAAACACGGCATGGCTTGCTCCCTGTTTTCAAGAGGCCACTGGCCTACCCCTCTTGAGAGAATTAGATTAAAATAACCCAAAGCATCTTAATCATAAGTATTAATAATATCATCTATGATTGAATATTGCCTTAGGGTGTAAGGTGACCGCACTGTCCCGCTTTTGGCGGGACAGTCCCGAATTTTAACAATTTGTCCCATGTCCCGCTGCATTTTTAAAACGTCCCGATTTTTGGAAAGAATGCACGACAAGCTAGGGTATACGGTTTTCGGCTGCCATGTGGCTATTTCGCCAGGATATGAGTTTTATCAATGGTGTCCTGCTTTACCAATGTTAAAATCTGGTCACCTTAGCTTTGTGTCAAGTACTGTATTGAGTCTTATACCATTTCGAACCTATCCAATAGCCTTATGAGTGAGGCAGGTTTTTTTACACTCATTTTATAGAAAATAGGACTAAGGCTGTAACGAGAAGGCCCAGGGTCACATAGCCAATCAAAGAGAATCTGCACTTTACATAACTAGATAGATAGGAAGTTCTCCCAGGAAAGGCAGAGGAGGGGAGGGGTCACTCAAAGAGCATCCTGGACTTCTAATCCCCCATCATTCCAGGAGGATTTCCATCAGCAGGAAGAGGCTTAGAGAAGCCAACCACAAATGAAACGGCACTGCACGCAGGAGAACAAGGATAAACAAAGACAGCAAGGCAGGGATGCCCGTGCTTGTCTGGGAAGCATGAAGAGACCAGGTGGCCTACTGCTAATGATTCCCAAAGGGAACGTGATGGGACAATGATGGGGAATGGCAGTTGATCCGAATGCCCACTAAAGGGCTTGGGATTTTCCTTTGAGCAAGGGGAGTCCGTAAATATGTTGGTGACCTAAATGGAGCCGTGTGGAGAGCTAGCAGTGATCTGGAAAGGTTTCCCTGGGGAGGACGGGCATCCTGGCTTTAAAGAGGCAACCTGGGCAGCTGTTTTCTAGATTGTATGAGAATGCGTGAGATGAGAACTGAACAGTGGTGATGGCCAAGGGACTGGAAGGAAAGGGTAGACAGAAAGGGACACACGGAGAACAGATGACACGAGACGGAGGGACCGGGATGACTGGTGACTCTGGGGAAGTGGAGCTCTTCCCAGCAGGCACCATTACTAAGCAAAGGCTGTTCAATGAAGACAACCAAAAATTGTTTTTCAGACTGCCCTGCCTCTTGGGTATAGAAGTACAATCTGTCACAAAGTGTCTCAAAAACACAAACCCGAGTGTCAGAGAGTGCCCCATTGCCACTCCCTAAGACCTGGGGACAAACTCCCAGGCGCTCTGTGCCTCGGGTTCCTCATCTGTAAAGCA